AGACCATGAACTCATGTTTACAATGTTTACTGAGGTAATAAATCAAGAGAGAAGTAGAGTCATTTTCTCATAGACTTCTATACAACGAGGAGTCGCCCCCTGATGGACATTAGAGAGAATGCAGCTTTAAGACACTTCCATATCGGCTTCACTCGGCAGAACCGGAGGTTGCCACCTGGTCCATCCTTTATTTTATCTGATTTCGGAAGGTCCGTCAACATTACAGAGAGACCACTTTTATGTGGCTATCATACAATATAAAACAGTACAATACAATACAAAACAAAAACCAACAGTTCGCTTTAGGCAACAAAACCACGTCACTTGCTCTGTCTGTTGCTTTGTCACGTAGCTGCATTTAATTTGTGCGTCCACCAAGAAAAAGGATCCTAGTTGACGGCCATTTGCATTAAACCTGCAGTAGTTTTTAATTACCAACAGCAGGAAATAGTACATTTTGTGGGGACTATTTTCAGTCCCGGAGTGAACTATTAAGTATTTGGGGCCGGAGGACGGTGTGTGTGGGACTTAATCAAAAACCTGTCTAATTTTAAGTTAATATCATTGATATTATGCTGCATAGCACCACTAAGAAATAAATCAAATAAAAAGACTTTGTTTTTGGCACCTGTCCTCGTGTCCTCTCTGGCTCTGCACAGATTGCATCCTAACAGAACAAAGGTCAAAGGCCGGATTTCTCATTTTAGAATATGTCGAGCCTGAGCACCTCGGGCCTGTTGGAGCCCGGCTAAATCACCGCCTCCTGCAGCAGCTGGCGTCGGTTTACAGCCGACAGGGTGCCAGAATCGTTCTCCTCCAGCTAGAATAACAGCTGGCACTGATTCTCATCGTGCCAACACAGGCTGCAGGACTTGATAATATTATGCTCAAGGTGGAGGCCCTGTGTTGGTTTAAATTCAACGATATACTGGCCAACGTGTGAGCTTCGTCTTCTTCGGTATTGGCCGCTGGAGATGTCGGTGACGCACATCTTAAATTAACCCATTTGTATTTCTGGATCTGAATTCTCATGGTCCCTGTAGTGTTCATGTTTCTACTGAAATGATTCAGATTATTAATCTAGTAAACAACTGGACTTTAGAGAGAATGACACCAGAGGTCGTCGGCTGCTTTACAAACTACGCAGCGTCAGACCAACATAAGAACACATTCACTGAGGAGTTGAGACGTTGAGAAGCAGCAGCATGTCCTGGTTGGCAGTTTTGCTGCATAATGTGTGATTTTGTCACCGTTTGTGTGTGTTGTGGAGGCTGTTCTGCGGTGCTTTGTGGCCTTTTTGTGCACTCGCGTGGAGGTATTTTGTGGCGTTCGACATAAATGATGCTTCATGTCATTTTATGGTGTTTTCTTTTTTTTGTGGCGCTGCCAGTGGGCGCTCAGTCGCTGCAGCTGTTGGCGTTCATCATCACCATCCAGCCGGGCAGACTGGCACCAAATGATAGGACATCTTTGGCTGAATATCTCCAACTGCTGGTTATCAAACTGGTAATGTATGAAGAAGGAATCATACAGGTTTCTTCTTTCTTTCTCTTCTTTCACTTTGTATCCCCTCCACCCTTTTCTCTCTCAATGATATATCACTTCTTCTTTCCTCTCCCACCTACCAGAGTTTTCTTTGGACTCGGACTCGGACTCGGAGGTTTCGGAGGACTCGGAGGTTTTCTCGGGTAGGTTGGGCAGCTGGGCGATGTCCATGGGCGTGTCTTTAAACTCATGAAGACTGTGAAGAAACACACAAAGAGGGTTTTTCAGTCAGGAAAGTGGAGGACTGGGTTTTGCCTTTGTTGCAAATTTGTACGAACTACTAGTGAAAGTCTGGACCCGACCTGGCGAGCTGCAGGTTGTATAACTTTGATTTCACAAACACATTTTAGAAGTTTGATGTTCGAAAACATAGGAACGCTTGGAGCTGTTTCTTTGTACTTTTTGTTGGACTAGAAGGTCTTTATTTTTATTAGTTTTGTTTATGAAGTTCCTTTTGATTATATTTATGTCTTTGATTTAAAAACTATTCTTTTAGCCCCTTTTGTTAAATACATTATCTTATGTTCAACTAAATGAATTGACCTTCTAACGTTAAAACATCGGGTTTTATGTTACTTCCTCTTCCCTAAATGAGCCGGGTCCTAACACACATTTACGGGGGTTTTTTGTTTAAAATTTTCTCAATGAAATGCTCTGAAACAAATGCAAAACGTTACACCATTTTTCCAAATGATATTCAGTCAAATTTAGTGAACCTGCAAAAAAATAAAATTTTTTAAAATATCAAAATATATTTTAAGATGCTTTTTTTTAAACTGAAATTACTTGAATTTAAAATATCTGTCACATGTTAAATGACTTGCAGTGACTGATAACATCTCCCTGTAATATCCTTGTGTAATTTTACAATACAATTTCCATTTAACACGTTAATTTAACTCAATAATTAGTTGCACACACGCATTCATTCCTCCATTACTGTGTGCTCGCTCTTGTATTCATGTGCATAATTTCTCATTTATTCAATAAAGACACAGTCTGGGTGTAATGACACGGAGGCGAGTCGACCTCTGACCTCAGGACGTAGTTGACCCAGATGACGTTCTTCTCGGTGGGGTTCTTGGAGTTGATGGCCAACGTGGCGCTGGACTGGATCCAGATGTAACCGCTGTTCTTCTGGATAAACCGGTAGTACTTTGTCACACACTGACCCTTGTTCATCACTGAGAGAGAGAGAGAGAGAGAGAGAGAGAGGGAGAGAGAGGTTTGTTATGTCATGGTGGATTTTCTTTGATTTTCTGCCTGTTTTCAAACTGCTGGACTTCACAGTAAACGAGCAGCTTGTTCATCACACAAGTGAGAAAAGAGAGGGAGAGTTGGACAGAGGGTGAGAGGGAAAGTGGGTGAGTGTGTGTGTGTGAGAGAGAGAGAGAGAGAGAGAGAGAGAGAGAGAGAGAGAGAGAGAG